TTTTGTACGGTTCTGTCTTACACTGAATTTTATGTACAGATTTGTTTCTCTGAACATTAGGACCCCTTCTGTGAGGAAACAGAAACTTTTGATCCATCTCAGTGCTGCATGTTCCTAAGATTGTGCTAGGTTTAAGTAAAACTGCATTATTACTTATTCACTTATTTATCACATTTGTATGCTGCCCCATAGCCAGAGGGTATTATAGCATGAATACCTATTGATGATGTAATTTCAGTGGGACTTGGGGAAGGCTTTTGCTACTATCTTTGAAAAGAATTAGTTTTATACAATAACAGTTCTTGCTAGGAAATGTGTTTGCTACCCAAAATTTGAAATGTTTTTTTTTTAAATCCTTGGTAATTATCATATCACACACCAACTATCAGCTTGTAAGTTTGTTCTGTTTGACTGCATATCTTAAAACTCCTTTGCGAATTAAGAAATCCAAGTATTTGTTCATATAAGACTGTGAATACCTTTCCTTTTAGACCACAATGACACAACAATCTCTTTATTTTGCATTTTTACTGAAAACCTTACTTTTACCCTGTGTTCTTTTCTGGTGATGAAAAATAATCCAATCTGGAAAATATGTTTATGAGAAATTCTGCAGCCATTTTTACTTCCTAGAGAAATGTATTTCAGCACTACATAAAACCCCATTTTATCTTGGTAAGGGCTTCACAAGATGTTGAGTAGAGCAGAAATATGTGAAATAGAAATTAATGTTACCCAGTATTAAAACTGTGCTGTTGATTCACGATTATTAAAACTTTCTCTTCCTAGCCTGTTACATGTAATTACAGGCAGCAAAGGAAGATGCTAAGTTTGAAGTTAGGGACTGAGTCCAATCTTCCCATTTATTTTGTCCAGCATTAAACTCTGATTTTAGCATTTTAAACATCCAGTTGGGAAAGTTCATGGCCTAGTTCGATTTGTGTGCGTGGGACACATGGCATTTGTGTATTTAGTGGAGTGGCTTTGGCCAGGGTTCTGTTCTCTATTAGCCTTCTGCAACCCCATTAATTTCTCTTCAGAGGACAACGAATCAAGGCACTTGTCACAGTAACTGCAGTTTGCTCATTTCTGCAAGCAGCACTCTTTAAGTTCCTGACTAATTGTTTGAGCCCCAGCCTTCTCTGCATAACTAATCAACAGACCATAATATGGCCTCTCCCCACCTCTACTGAAGGTGTTGGTCTTTCCATGGAAATCTGCACTAGATTGTGTTGCTTACCTCTTGAGGTTAACTCTTCTAAATGTCTGGTTGATAGGAGAACAGATTGGACCGATCATATTTCATGTAACAATGAATAGATAAAAAGAACAAATGGCAGCTATCAGGTGATTGAAATTATCTTGCAAGTGAATTCACTCAGATGCCATCTGTTAAGCTGCATGACACTCATCTGAGTGGCTGACAGAGCTAATTTGAATGCCACCTGGATTTCCTGGATTAAATATAAAAATAAGGTTAAGAATATCTTTTTAAACTCTAAGCCTTATAAATTCTGAGGGGTGTGTAACCATTGAAAGCCCACTTTCACCGGTCAGCTTTTAGCTCTGAATAGATAAGTCAGAAATAAAGAGGTGAGAAGGAATCTTCTAGTTTGCAGGTACAAAACTATAAATGATTGATATGTAACACATGTTCTTTATTTAGTATCCATAGGTTTAAGTAGTTACACTTTAACATCAATGAGCTGAATTATTCTTTGAGGGAAAATACTGATATACCAAGTCTGAAATTAAAATACAGTTCCTTGGCTAGATGTCCCACTGAAATTAACGACTGGCCATATGAGCCTATTGTTGCATTAAAACCCCTTGGGAAGAAATAGCATCACTATTAAATTCCACTGTACCTGTCAGAAACAACACTCTGCCACATATTGTTATCATTACAGCATGCAACACAGGCATCATCACTAAATCAATCACAGAAGGGATGAAAATAAACAGAATGGAGGTATGATGAGAGAAGAATGGTGCTTGGTCAGAGATCAGACCCACACCTTAAACATGCCAATGGGACAGGGTGTGGTATAAGTAAAAGCACTCCCATTTGAATCAATGAGAGGAGTTCAAGTCTCTCCACAAGTAATTATGCGCCCATGCAACATGCAAACACTATTTCCTTTCAGTGACACTCAGAGCCCAAGCAAGTACTGCATCCCTGCGACCAGGGGGAAACCAGCTGTTCCTCTGCTGAGTTGTCATCTTTTCTATTGCTGGGACATTTCATGAGCCAGTCACTGGAAGACTACACGTCTCCAGCACATGTGCAGCTCTTGTCTCCTCCTGTGGCTGAATGATTGTGCTTTTGATCTGCGGAGTGACAGACCTGAGCTCTCTTTTCTTTGCCTTTCCCTTATTCCAACTAAGGAAGCACCAATAAGAAATATGCTTCATCTGGACACAGGCCATGCTTACATCTCCATGAGTGGAATTCAAAACTCTTCTCTCTTTCTTACAATTAATTGCATTGCTTCTTCCCACTGAGCTGTTCATAAGAGTGCATTACCTTCTTTCCTTGCACTCTCTTCTCCTCAACACATCTTCCCAGACTGTGCTATTTGTAGTTACATGCACATTGTCTGCAGAAACTTTAATACCACACCAGGACTCAAGGATCCAAGAAGAGACCTGGGTCAGACCAGAAGTGCATCTAGCCCAGCATCCTGTTTTGCACAGTCGCCAGCTGAATGCCTCTGAAGGCAGTAGCCCCTTCCTAGTCCCTGGTGTGTATTGGAATGCTGCCTGCAAACACAGAAGTTCTACATTAGCCATCATGCCTAGCATCCATAGATTCAAGCCCTTCTTTGAGAGAAGGACGACTCTCATGTATGTCATGAGCAGAACCGGCTGGAGCCAGGGGTCAGGCTAGATGGCCCAGGAGGTCCCTTCCAACTTGCTTTTTTTCTCTGTTTCTGTGTACAGGCTCATATGGATGACAGTGCTCATACTCACTGGCTTGGATGGTACAATAAGAACAGCATATTCCCTCTTCTTCTCAAGGCCTATTTATCCAACAATAGGCTACAGCTGGACAGATTTGGGCTGCCAGGGGGTTGAACTATTTTCTGGGCAGAGCATTAGCTCTTTTGGCAGAAGCAACACTCACACAGATACTGTCTTTCAGCCCTTCCCAATTTCGTGCTCTCCCAATGTGTTGGACTACTTTTCCTATCACCTACCAGCATGACTATTGAGCATGCTGGCTTGGGAAAATAGGAGTTATAATCCCACACTTCTGGAGGACACCAGTGTAAGGAAGACAGCTCTGTGGCTTTTCTTGCAGTGTACTCATACATTGCTTAGAGAAGATGTATACTGCATACATACCACCACCACCACCACGTTGAATTTATATCCTGCCTACTTTCCTCTTGTGATGTCACAGAGGTAGCAGACAAGTTTGGAAAGGTGGGGAAATGAAGAAGTAGCAGGCATTGAAAGTGAAATAAGAAAGTGTGTCTGGTCAGCTCTTCATAATAATATGGTATTATGATGCTACTCAACATGATGCATATAAGAGGCAGGAGAATGCGGAAAACTTTTATTCACCTGGGGAAGCTCTAAGACACTGGTTCTTGTGTGCATGCATGTGTGTGTGCTTCTGTGCAGCAGCAATGTCCTAGGCTCTTAAGAGTCTCATTCCATGACTCTTCAGACTGTAGTTACCGACTGTAGTTATTCTCATATCTATGTTCCTCCTCTGTTGTGAGAAATATAGGTATTTCCTTTGTAGAGAGGCTCCCTGTCGATGGCATGAATCCTCTGCAAATGTTACTAAAATGAAGCACCTTCCTTTCATGGTTAGACTATAGAATCTTAGAAGAGTTGGAAGGAGCCATGAAGGCCATCGAGTCCAACCCCCTGCTGTTGCAGGACACCATGTTAAACCATCTCACTCAGATGGCTGTCCAGTTCCTTTTTGAATGTCTAGTGTGGGAGAGCCCACCACCTCTCTAGGCAACTGGATCCACTGTTGTATTGCTCTGACAGTAAGGAAGCTTTTCCTGATGTCCAGCCTGAGTCTGGGTTGTCACAACTTGAATTGATTATTCTGTGTCCTACACTCTGGCATCAGCAAGAAGAGATCTTGACCTTCCTCTTTGTGACAGCCTTTGAGGTACTTATAGAGGAATATCATGTCCCCCCTCCATCTTCCCTTCTCAAGGCTGAGCATGCCCAATTCTCTCTCAACTGAATGTTAATAGTTAACCTAAAGAAACTGCAATGGTCAGAAAGGAATTGGGCTGCACCTGATTTCTCCCAGGATTGTTGTGGTATCAGATAAACCACTGATCCTTCAGATGGTCATGGCAAATCAACCCTTCCTTAGTCCAGAGTCGAAGATTTCACAGTGCCTTATTGGACAAAAATGTGAATCTCAGAGATCTTCCAAAGTGGCAATAGAAGTCAGTTGGGGAAAGAATAATTTATCCATCCCAATTTTAGTGGTAATTGGTTTGTCTGTCTCTTTACCCTTCTTCATTCATTACACCATTTTTAAGAGAGTATGAACTGTAGGAACTGCAGGAAGTGTTTCATCATCAGATGGCCTCTTATTGCATTAGATTTCATTTCCCTTTTTGCTAAGTGAAACTTACAGAGCTATTTTTTTCCTGTTCTGTAAATAATGTTCTTTCCCCTGCTGCTTTGCCAATCCATTATTTTGTGCAAGACTATTTAATACTGCTTTTTGCCTACAGATAGCAAAGTGTGAAACACTCTTTCTCATGGCTATGGCATAGCTCAAAGACAGAGCAGTTTTTGCTAATGTTAATTCATGTGAAGACCAATTCAGGTCAAGTTAGCTGATTTCCTAGCAACAACACTTACAATTTTACTAACAGGAATTAAGGCATTATTGGCTTCAAGTACTGATTTGTAGTCATTTCCAAGTGCTTCATTTACTGCTCATTGCCAAAGCTGCTAAATGAATAGTGCTAGACTTGATTTTTTTCTCCCTTCTCTTTTCTTTTTTGCAGCAATGGTACAGCAGCTCCATGAAAGTCATATGTGTGTGGCTGGCTGATAGATTAGATCTCCAGCTTCATATCTACCAGCTGAAGACTCTCATCAAAATAGTGAAGGTAAATGTATTAGAATATGACTGAACGTTATTATGGAAAACTGAAACAAAGAATATATTATTCAGGCCCTCTCAGAATGAAAAACTATCACCACTTGAAATGGGTAGCACTACCAAAGATACTGCTAGAAAGCAACAGGAAGGAAATGGGTGATTTGTTTCTTGTCCTTGATTTAGGGCCAATGAAAAACAAAATGCTTAACCATGGTACTAAATTGGTGGTCTCTGTAACCCTGAATTAATTACAGTTTAATATACCAAGCAAAATCTTACTCTCTGGAAGGTATGTGAATAGTGACACTAGCTAAAGCTACAAGCAAAGCAATGAAGATCTTATCTCACCTATGGTTTGACTGGTGCATACGTAGCACTTAATCATGGTTACTGTAAAAACCATGGTACATGTTCACAACCTAATTAGTGGCCAATCCTTGCAGTTGCTATTCTTTAGGATTAACTTCATCCTAAAATGCCAGACTTCCGCCATTTTCAGTGACTAGACCCAGTGACCAGATTTTCTTTTGAAGCTGGACTTACTTAAATTCTAATGATCCTATGTGGTTGTGCAATGTGTTCACCAATGAGCTCAAGGCACTTCACATACTTTTCATGCAACATTTGAGTTGTGAGTACAATTTCAGTAAAATCAGAATTATCTCCCTGTTTGGGAGAAAGCTATCCAATTTAGACTTGAAATGAGATTAGCTGCTATGATCCTTGGTCCCAGTGATCACTAAAAGCCCCAGACTTCAACTCTTTCAAACAAAACAATCTGTGCAGTACTCTATTTTAATATCTGTAATACAACAGTATCTTTATATTTATTCAGAATAGGACCAAGATAATGCATTTAGCAATAATCAATACCTAGCTGAATCCATGTTTCACATTGGAAGCCATTCTAGTAAAATCTAGAGAATAAAATCTATAAAACCAAACTGTACAGCCAGCTAGCTTCTGAGAAGCAGGCTCCCCAGAGCTAATATATTGCAGAACAGGGATCCAAAAGGTCAGTTAACAAATGAATGGTTCAGTAATCTAGTGGTGTGAAGGTCTGTTGAATTTGTTGAGTTATTTATCAGGTGCAATAACACAACACTGTACAAATGGAGATTTGACAAGAGGCGGTTTTGTTTACATCCAATCAAGTCTCTCTGCTCCATGGGGATTTGAATGGTCAGGCACTAACGATTGTACTGCCTATGCACACAAGCACATGTGCGCATGCATCTAAGTGATGATATGCAAAGCACTGTAGATAGTTTCAGGTTATAAAATCATTTGTATGTTATTCATTTGGATTTTAGTCTTAGATTTTTAAAAAAAAGTCTACAGCAATGGTTGCAAAAAGCTTGATTAATCATCTCTTGAGTTGCCATGATCAACTGCCATTTTGGAAGGAGTTTGCAGATTTATGCTGACTCTTCACACACCTGGCCACTCTGACACACAACTGAAGAGTCCATTGCTAAAATGACCATAAGACTGTTGCCAGTGGCACTGGATCTCAGTCAGAGCTCATGCCAGAGTGACTATCAGCTGACCATCATTCACATAGTCGTTGAATGAAGTTGGCCTAATCATGAAAAATTCAAATTGGGTGCAGAATAAGTAGCTAGGCAAGAATCTGAAATCTCACATAGGTCACCTAAGACTCTTCACTTTGAAAATGGAAAGTACTACAACTGAAAATCAATTGCTTTTTGAAGCACCTTTCAAACATTCTTATGACTTAAGGTGAAAGCAAATGTAACACTGGCTTATTGCATTCAGTATATTTCTTTTCTCCAGACCCCACATGTCAAACAAAAACGTAGGGCCTGTAAACAGTGTTTCCATATGGATGCCAGCCAAACACTTCTGTAAGTTTTAGTTTTGCGGCACGCACTTAACAATTGAGCATTATATTGCAGCTTTACAATGTGACATTCAGGAAGAATCACCTGATGTCTTTCATTAGACCAACTTATGCGGGTGGAACCACTACTCAAAAAAATTTGTTGAATGTGGTTCTTTGTCAAAAAGAATATTCTTGCAGTTCTGAGCTATACAGTTAGGATAGAGTTATTTACTGAATTAAACACTTGTACCTACTCAGGGTAAGTAGTGCTTGCAGTTGCTACTCTTTCAGATAACTTATTTAGAAAGAACATATGGTGGTGGTAAATAATAGTGGGAGAGGATGAAGTGGCCCAAACCCCACAGCCTATCAGAGAGCTGCTTGATGAACTCAACAGCCAACTCAACCTTGATGTATATTACTTGATGAGAGTTTGATACCTTTCTTTTGAAAGTATGTGAAAGAATACTACTTTTGAAAGAATACTGTTTACCGCTCCGCTTCTACATAATGTACCCTGTGCCATCTGCACACACATGCATACATAGTGACAGACAAGAGAAAAGGTAGTTCAAAAGAACACTGCTGAGATACATTTGAGGCTTTTTAGTGCCATAAAGGGAATGTTAAATGACTCTCCCTCACCCACAGCTGCACAATCTGCCACTGGAGCTTCTGGAGTTGGTCATCTCCTGTACGGAGTTGGCCTCCTTAGTTTTCTGTCCTTAGTATAAACCAGCCATCTTCTGCCAGGATACCCAGCAAGAAGGGTCATCACTCAGCACAGAGCACATGCTTTCAAAAAATACAGTTCCAGGTTCAGCCCTTGACATCTCCAGGTATACAAGGCTTGTGAAGGCCTCAATCAAGTCCCTGAGAAGTTGCCATGCAGTATAGACGGCTTGGCTTAAGATGCTGTTTTATCTGCTCTCCTCTGGGCCTCTCTTCCATATTCCTTGCCTTATACGTAAGTCAGACCTTCAATGCACACTTTGAGAGGAAAAAGAAAAAGGGAGAGACTTGACCCTGTTGATTTTATGTGCATGTGTTTGCTTGTTACAGAAGACCTATCGAGACTTTAGGTTGCAGGGAGTGCTGGAAGGAACACTGAACAGTAAAACATATGATACTGTCCACAGCCGACTAACAGTAGAGGAAGCCACAGTCTCTGTGTCAGATGGGAGTGGACTTCAAGGCATCACCATGAAGGACAGCGATGAAGAAGAAGGCTGACCTTCTGTGTCTTTCATAAGATGTTTGTTTCGTAACTTGTTCTCATATTTGTGTCTATGGTTTTGCCTTAATGCCCTAGTATTACAAGGTAAATTCATCCCACTCAAGGAAAAGAGAAAATGGCCTTTAAAAGATGGGTTAGAGGTGGAGCAGAGAGTGTGAGTGTCCAGATCTAAAACCAATGGAGAGGACTGGCATATTTTTCTGTGTAGCTTTGCTTTAACTGTGAGAATGCCATTATGGAATCTGACTCCACTTGGGCTTCATTCCTTTTCACTGTAGTGTTGCAGTCTCTTCCCGTGATGTCACCAGAGTTTGGCATGCCATGTGCAAAAATCAAACTATGCACATCACACAATCGTATGTTCTTGGACTCTTCAGTCCCACTGTTCAAAGCAAACATTGTGTCATTTGCAAGGACTACAGCCCTGTCTGTATATTTCATGATTTGTTACTGGGTTTCCTCCTTCATTAATAGGTAAAGTGCATTAAAAAAAACTACTGTTGGTTCCTAATGCTTTGATTTTGCTATGTATAAAGGTAAAAAGACTGGAAGAAGTGCCAGGAAAACTAAATTCTAAGTGTTATGTCTTCATCACTCAAAATTTAAAAACTTTCTCATCTTGTTGGATGTTAGGAAGCTTGCCTTCAGTATTTCTTTGTCTCTGTGGAAACATGCAGGCAATAAGACCCCCCCTCCCCTTTGGGTTACTGACAAATCTGTATCTAGCCCATGTTTGTATAGGATTCTAAAATTAAAAGATGTTTGCAATATTTGAAATCACTTGACCTTCTATATTTTCTTTGACAGGGAAGCGCAGTTAAAAATTATGTTTCCTGAAGCCCTGCAAAATATAAAAAATGGCTTTATATGAACCATTTGAGTGTCTATCCTATAGTTTTAAATTCTTCTTTCAATCCCATTAATACAAATGTTAGATAAACAGAGTAAGGGTATTTTATTATCCAGTTACTACTTTAAAAAATATTCTTTTTCATACTTACACATAAAAATCAACACCTCTGCCTATTGATAACAGCATAAATGGTTTGAACAGTGTCTCGAAGAGTACTGCATGAAGACTGGGGGAAGGGAGTTACTTACATTGCTATTGACCGTAAATGTCTGGCCTTAATTTAGCAGTGAAGTGTTTTACTCCAATGAATTCCTTGAATGATTCAGATTTTCTGTGGCTTATGCGACAATGCTTTGCAAAGACAGGTCATGCAACTTCATGGCTGTTCTATAAGCACAAAGGCTTGAAGGACTGAAAAGTAGTGAGCTTTCAAGAGTGTTTTTGTTGTTGTTGTTGTCGTCGTTGTTTAAGGGCTCGTGTAAACTGTGCCAGAAGAAGGGCAAACAAGTTGCACTTCGGCAAAACTCAGCTCCTCCTAGAAGTGGCAATTACTCCTCATTCCCCTACAACTCAAGATACAGCTAGTTAGTAGAAGAAAAGAGGCAAATAAGATATCATATGTATGAGAGTTTGTAAGAGCACAAAAGTTTGCTTGGGTCCAGCTTTGCCTTCCCTGATGTCTTGCCTGGAATAACTTGACCACCTTTAGGAAATGCTAAAGGTTTTCTGCCACAGTGAGTGTTTGAGACAAGTTCATTATTCCTTCCGCAGTCTTCCGTCTGTTCACTGGTGATTTGATGGAGCTGCAGATTAGGCACACATCTTGCCAAAAACAAAATGTAGTTTTCCTTATAGGGTAGATGTTACCTGCAGTTATGATGGATTTGTTCTTTGGTTTGTAACTTTTGTACATAAAAGAAAAGAGAAGGCTCCAGGGCCAAGCTCACTGACCAATGCAATTCAAGTGATCATATGCACATTTTAGAGCTGTGAAAATGTAAATTGCTTAAATTATTTCAACTGGTTTAGTCCCAGAAGCTGTTTTCACACATGAAAATAAAGGCATGCTTGCATTTCCCAAATTAGTAATATTACTATGAAGGGTACATTTGGATAAAATATGCCTTCCATTTTACAATCTCCTGCTGCTGCTTTCTATCCTGTGTTCAAAGCATTCACACATTAACTTGAGTAGCATGAGGCTCAAAAAGGTTTTAGTGCACTGATGTGGAGTGGCACCATACAGATCATAGAAGCAGCTTTCAGCAACCCTCCCACAGGAGATGTTTCAATCAGCCAGCGTTCTTGGGATTAACGGCATGCCACTTCAAACGTAAGTAGGCTTGTTTAAACCGTTTGTAGATCTTGCACTCATTCACAAAAAACACCTTAAAATGTATGTTGACTTCTGCTCCTACAACTTTGCAGTAATATCATGCCATCCTGGAACTTCAGATTACCCCACCGGTGGTGTTAGATTGGGGTAGAGACTCTGGATGCTTCAAGACAAGACATTTATTTAGCCGTGACCCTGCCTGATTCATGGAGTAGTGCAGGGGGTCCAGACAATGTTGTATTCAATTTATAACTCTCCCGTGTTTCCCCACCACATCAATCCTTTTTCTGACCACAAAACAAAACAGTTGAGGTAGGCTGCACAACACTTCTTGATTGTCAGTGCTAGGAACCACCCACTGCTTGCAGGAAGAACACCAACATACCATTCCCCACTCCATGAAATGGCAATTCCTCTGCAACACAGTCAGGGGTCCCGTTCACAAATAGACAGATGAGCTCTCCCATGCTGCTTGATGTCTGGGGAGTGGCAAACACCACAATGCACATGTCTTGATCTGCATGGGTCTTCCCTGCCAGTTGCGGGGAAGGCTGTAGCTTAGTGCCATAGCACATGCTCTGCATACAGGAAGTCCCAAGTTCAACATCCACCCCCCACACACCTCTCCAGATAGAGCTGGAAAAATTCCAGCCTGAAACCTTGGAGCACCCTGAGCACCAAATGGACCAATGCAGTATAGGGCAGCTTCCTATGTTCTTATAAACTACTGTTTCAACAAAAAGAAACGTATGCCTCACTCCTTCTTTCCAAATGGTAGTGGATGGAAACAACATGAATCAGATTCTCTGACACATTCGACGAGAACTAAAATGTGTGTTCAGGCCTTATCGCCCTCTGCTTGTATTTAGAGAGGGGAAATTATCTGGTTAACACTTTTCAGCTTCTAAGCCAGGGATGGGTATCCACTAGCTCCAGCCAACATGGACAATGGTTTGATCACTGGAAAAGAAAACACAGAAGCTCCCATGTCTGTATTTCTAGGCTTATAAAGGGAGATGCATGTGAAACAAAGTTAGAGGTGCGGCGTGCTGTTGAATGCAATATTATTTTCCTCATTGCCTGTGCAATTGTCACGTAAGCGTATCGAGGACTCATGGGCTGTTCACTGATGTTGTAAGTCTAATGGAGACTGTTACATTGAACACCGCCTTTTGATACAACCACCCCTTCACAAGGAGGTTAATGCACACAGAAGTACATGTTGGATCCAATTGTGGCATTCCACTGATGAAAGTAGTTCAATCAGTAAGTGAGAAGAAGGGCAAATCTCCCCTCCAAAATCTGCTCCAGAGGTTTGGGAACTGCTCTGGGGTAGCATTTCAGGTGGCACAGAGGATTGCAAGGACAGGAGAAAGTCTCATTACACTATTTGTTACTACTTGGATTTAAATCTGTTAATATAAAGCGGCAATTATGACTACTTTTATACATGTGGAAAAAACAGGAGCTGAGACAATTAGCTCACTGCTAAATGAAATTAGTTTTATGGTTCTACAGAACCTGTAGATTTATAAGTGTCAAATAAAGACATTGGCACTAACCCTGAGATATTTCCCAACTACTTTACCAAGTAGTAACCAATAAGTGTCCAAACATGCAATTCTCCTTTGATGGAAACTCAAAGTACAGGGGATGTCATCTTTTTACAGACCTGCAAGAGGGCATGTGGTTATTTTGAACATACATACGAACAGCAACTCTGTTTTCCAAGTGTCAATCCTAATGGCGCCAAGGTGATATCAGCAGGTGTGAGGAAGCACCATGGCTTCCCCAAACCTTAAGGAGGGACGGAAACCTAAAAATGGCCCAATGAAAACTGAGCATATGTGATGGACAGAGAATGCTGATTGTTCAGAGGAGGGTAACAGAAACCCAGTCGGAAGGGTGAATGGAACTGGATGGATGGAAAAGGATTTGACCAACTGCTTAGAAGAACGAGTAAGAGTGCTCCACACGGCAGCATCTTCTTGCATCTCTCTCTTGTTTAAACAAGTGGAGATCAAGTTATGGAACAATTATGAGTGCAAACTTTCATATACATTATTTAGTATGTTACAGCTAATGTTCAAGATCTTCCTTGGAAGACCTAAGTCTTATGTCTCCTCTATATAGATAGATAGCTTAATAGCCAAGCACTCTACGTATGTTCAGATTCATACTTCTCATAATAAAATACATTCCAGAGCAGAGTTCTACTTCAAAATAAAGAGTTTCATGGGGATTCCAATTTTTTAAGCAAATTTACATGGGCCCAGGAAAACCAACAAACCAAGTCTTAGAATAATAGAATTTGCCCAGCATTAAACTAAAGTTATTTCAAAATCTGCATCAGCAGCCTGAAACCCTCCACTTAAGGTCATTATTTTTCTGAAGTATATACATAACCACAATTTAACCAAAATATTGATGCCAATATTTAACCTCTCAATTAATTTCTCAGTAACAGTGATATCCCATTAACAAATTAATCTTAAACATCTTGACTGCAGTTTCCACATTATATTCTCTCCTGAGAAGAAACTGATTGTTTTCTAAAAACAGTTCTTCAGTTTGGTAATAAATAGTCTGACTGGGTTCAGACAACACAACAAGCCATGTTTTTGTTTTGGTTTTTTACCACTGTTGTGTTACCATTGTGCTGTCTGAACCCAGTCATTATAAACCATGATAAGAAACGAGGATTTGTCTTATGGGTTCCCTGCATGGCTTGCCATGTTGCCTGAACCTAAGATCATAGTTTTCATGGTCCTGGCATGCAAACTAAGGAGTCCTCTGGAAAGAGTAGCAGCCAGTCATGCAACCTCTATGAACTGACCACTGAGGAAGAGGCAGGCAACAAAGTGATGCATGCTGGGACTGAATTTCAGGTACAATGGCTAGTGGTATACCTGCCAATGGTAGGAGGACTGAGCAGGGAAGATGGAAACTGATAAAGCAGAAACCAATTGATCGTCCATCAGGTAGATCATGTTTTAAAAAAAAACAAACTGCAGACCACTGCAGCCATGAAGGGTTGCTTGCCATGTTGTGTGAACACAGCCTCTGCGCTGATAAATATTAGATCTTGCTAACAGAATCTAATTTTTCAGCAGCCCCATCACATGGATAAGATTTCCGAGCAGGTGCCATATCCTGATCTCGTTACCTTTTTGAGCTTCCTTGCTCTTTACAAAATCACCTGGAGATTTTATACTGAGACGTTCTAATTGCCTTACATTTGAATGTCAATGTAGTGTTCCAGTCAAAAATTAAGAATAACAGTTCAGAAGTATAATACTGTTGGCCAATAGGAAGCAGGCCTAGATTCACCTCTTTTAACATGTCATATCGATGTGCTTTTGCAGGGCTAGCATCAGACCCTGACATTACTGCAGAAGCACCGCATCCTGGTGTTCCTCCTTGCTGACACTGTTCACTTCTTCCTTCAAAGTGAGTAGTGACAAGTACAAGGAGAAGCACCAGCAGCTCATTGTGTATTCTGCTGCAGATTCAAGGGAAAAGGCAGAAGCAGCAGTTACAAGGTGGAAATCCGATTTTTGGAATGTTCTGGGGGTGGGGGCATTCCAGGGATGGGCAGGGCTGAAAGTGAGAGGGGTGGAACCAAATTGCCAGCACATTTTCTTTATAAAAGAAGCTACTAGGTGGACATATTTCTGTCATAAATCACTGTATTAAA